AAAGACTTTTCCATATATCCCTCCACAGGGCACAAGGGCATAGGGTAGATACAAATTAAGCACAGTAGCAACCTGGATATCTAATTATTCCCAGAGGCAAATATGTAAATCAAGCATGCTGATAACTCTGGGTTACATACTTATACCATTTATTATTAATTTTATGAAATGTATATAGAGAAAGACTTGATCATTTTAGTAGCCCTTAGAAAGGTGACTCTTGAACTATAGTCATGTGATAGAGTGACACACATGAATTTTGGAGTTAGAAGACAACAGTTTGCATCTTGGATCTATTAGGCACCAGATGTGTGACTTGGAGAACATTTCTTAACTTTTCTCAATCTCAATTTAGTTAGGATAATGGCCTTTCTCTTTGAGGGAGAGGAATATGTCCTAGCTCATGGCATATCATGGGACTTAAGAAATGATAGTTATGAGGTTCCTGAGTTTTTTTTAGATTAAAAAATTTTTTTTATTTTGGTATCATTAATATACAATCACATGAGCAACATTTTGGTTACTAGATTCCCTCCATTATCAAGTCCCCACCACATACCGTATTACAGTCACTGTCCATCAGTGTAGTAAGATGCTATAAAGTCACTACTTATCTTCTCTGTGATATACTGCCTTCCCCATGCCACACCCCCTACGTTATGTGTGCTAATCATAGTGCCCTTTATTCCCCTTCTCCCTCCCTTCCCACCCATTCTCCACAGTCCCTTTCCCTTTGGCAGCTGCTAGTCTATTCTTGGGTTCTGTAAGTCTGCTGCTGTTTTGTTCCTTCAGTTTTTGCTTTGTTCTTAGGCTCCACAGATTAGGAAAATCATTTGGTACTTGTCTTTCTCTGTCTGGCTTATTTCACTGTGCATAATACCTTCTAGCTCCATCCATGTTGTTGAAAATGGTAGAATTTGTTTTCTTCTTATGGCTGAATAATACTCCATTGTATATATATACCACATCTTCTTTATCCATTCATCTACTGATGGACACTTAGGTTGCTTCCATTTCTTGCCTATTGTAAACAGTGCTGTGAAAAACATAGGGGTGCATATGTCTTTTTCAAACTGGGCTCCTACATTGTTAGGGTAAATTCCTAGAAGTGGAATTCCTGGGTCAAATGGTATTTGTATTTTCAGTTTTTTGAGGAACCTCCATACTGCTTTCTACAATGGTTGAACTAATTTACATTTCCACCAGCAGTGTAGGAGGGTTCCCCTTTCTCCACATCTTCGCCAACATTTGTTGTTTGTCTTTTGGATGGTGGCCATCCTAACTGGTGTGAGGTGATATCTCATTGTGGTTTTAATTTGCATTTCTCTGATGATTAGTGATATGGAGCATCTTTTCATGTGCCTGTTGGCCATCTGAATTTCTTCTTTGGAGAACTGTCTGTTCAGCTCCTCTGCCCATTCTGTAATTGGATTATTTGCTTTTTGTTTGTTGAGGTGCATGAGCTCTTTGTATATTTTGGATGTCAACCCTTATTGGATCTGTCATTTATGAGTATATTCTCCCATACTGTAGGATGTCTTTATGTTCTATTGATGGTGTCCTTTGCTGTACAGAAGCTTTTTAGTTTGATATAGTCCCACTTGTTAATTTTTACTTTTGTTTCTCTTACCCATGGAGATGTGTTCATGAAGAAGTTGTTCATGTTTATATTCAAGAGATTTTTGCCTATGTTTTCTTCTAAGAGTTTTATGGTTTCATGACTTACATTCAGGTCTTTGATCCATTTTGAGTTTACTCTTGTGTATGGAGTTAGACAGTGATCCAGTTTCATTCCCTTACATGTAACTGTCCAGTTTTGCCAATACCAGCTATTGAAGAGGCTGTCATTTCCCCATTGTATATCCATGGCTCCTTTATCATATATTAATTGACCATATATGTTTGGGTTAATGTTCCACTGGTCTATGGGTCTGTTCTTGTGCCAGTACCAAATTCTCTTGATTACTGTGGCTTTGCAGTAGAGCTTGAAGTTGGGAAGTGAGATCCCCCCTGCTTTATTCTTCCTTTTCAGAATTGATTTGGCTTTTGGGGGTCTTTGGTGTTTCCATATGAATTTTTGAATATTTGTTCCAGTTTGTTGGAGAATGCTGTTGGTATTTTGATAAGAATTGAATCAAATCTGTATTTTGCTTTAGGCAGGATGGCCATTTTGGCAATATTAATTCTTCCTATCCAAGATCATGGTATGAATTTCTATTTATTAGTGGAGGTTCCTATTTATTATCAGGAGGTTCCTGATATTGTTGATTTAAGCATCAAAGCTTTTTAAAAGTGTAACTGTTTGGATGGGAGTCCTTAAAAATTTATTGCATATTCACTTTCCTCTTTACCTAGAATAGACTGAGTTTATTTTATCTATCTCAATGCACAAAGGCTCTTAATAAGCACAGCTGCTCCTAGGCTCTGATGAAATGCAGAATGCCTTGGGACCTATTGATTTATGAAGGCCAGTTTGTCCTTGTGTACATCACTTATGGTGTCCATGTGCTTATCTGCTTTTTATACTCTGTTTTTCTCCCTTGCTGTTACAAGTTTATTGCCATTTGTCTTTGCTACCCTGCTTGCTTCTTTTTACTTCTGAGTCTTGACTTATGGGAGGTTTGTAAACCAGATGGTTAACTAGTAATAACATTGTGGCCACATAAAAAGCATTACTAGGCTATTAGTAAGCACCAAGAGACTCCCTTGTGTGTTGCACATGCATTTTGTGGCATCTGTTTTTCAATGAGCTTGCTTCTTGGCTAAGTCCTAAATAGTCAAAGTGGTTAGGTTTCTGCATTTTGGAGGCGTGAGGTGGAATTGTAACATTTCCTATTGTTTCATATGAATGGAAGAAGGGCATAAATATTTCTCAATGAGGAAGGTGGCTGCTATATGGGATCCAGGAATCTATTTTCTGTGTTGATATCCTTCACAATGGTGAGCCTATTCTGTATTCATAATAGTTGCTAAATAAATAGTTGCAGTATTAAATCAGGTCTAATATAATATACTTGTCTAGATAAAAGTAAATGCCTCAAATTGTATTAACAGGAGGCTAAAAAATTAAATGTTTGAAGGGGAGTTGCTTTTCTTTTTGAAAAATTAAGATTTAAGAGAAACTCTATTTGTGAAATGTTTAAGGGTACAGAGATGTCCCCTCTTAATCATGGTGCTATTTGTCATTGACTGCATTGATTGATGTAGAACTGCCCCAAGCACAGGGAATTTTAAATGAGAACAACATGTCGGTCAAATATCCCAGCCTTCAATTACTTCCTATATGTATAACTAAGAAGAGGTACGAATGAAGTGAGCTTGGAATTCAGGTGAAATTCTATAACTAAGTATGCATCTAGAGAAATGGTTGTAGAAAAGATGCACACCTATGAATGTTCCCAAATGTCCATGGACTACTTACATGTCCATCAATGGCATAATGGATAAATTACTATATATTCAAGCAGTGGAATGCTATATAGTTACAAATGTTACATACAACATGGCTGACTTTCAAAATATAATTTTGAAAAATCACAGTAGAGTATATTCACCATGATTGCTTTTTAAAAAATTGAAGTATTGTTGATTTACAATCTTATATTGGTTTCAAGTACACAACACAATGGTTCAGTAGTCACCCACATTGTCAAATCCCTATCCCCATTAGTGCAGTTACTATCTGTTAACATACGAAGATGACACAAAATCATTCACTATATTCTTCATGCTGTGCTACTATCTCTGTGACCAACTTTTATTATGATTGAAGATTTTTGTACCCCTTTATCACCCTTCTCCTCCTTATCCACCTACCCCAGCCCTCCCCCCATGGTAGCCACCAGTCACTTCTCAGTGTCTATGAGTCTACTGCTGTTTTGTTCATTTTGTTTTGCTTTGTTTTTATATTCCACAAATAAGTGAAATCGTATGGTATTTATCTTTCTTCATGTGACTTATTTCACTGAGCATAATACCCTCTAGGTCCTTCCATGGTGTTGAAAACAGCAAGATTTCTTTTTTTTTAATGGCTGAATAATATTCCATTGTGTATATGTACCACCTCTTCTTTATCCATTCATCTGTTGATGGACACTTAATGTTGCTTCCATATCTTGGCTATTGTAAATAAGGCAGTGATAAACATAGAGGTGCATATATCTTTTCAAATTAGGAATTTTGTTTTCTTCAGGTAAATTCCTAGAAGTGGAATTACTGGGTCATATGGTATTTCTATTTTTAGTTTTTTGGAAAACCTCTGTACTGCTTTCTATAGTGGTTACACCAGTTTACATTCCCACCAACAGTGTAGGAGAATTCCCTTTTCTCCACATCCTTGACAACATTTGTTATTTCTTGTCTTTTGGATAGAAGCCATTCTGACTTGTGTAAGATGATATCTCATTGTTTTGATTTGCAGTTCTTGATGATTAGTGATGTGGCACATCATTTCATGTGCCTGTTGGCCATCTGTATTTCTTCTGTGGAGACATGTCTGTTCAGGTCTTCCACTCATTTTTTAATTGGCTTATTTGATTTTTGGTGTTGAGGCATATGTATGAGTTCTCTATGTATTTTAAATATTAACCCCTTATCAGGTAAGTCATTTATGAGTATATTCTCCCACACTGTAGGATTCCTATTTGTTCTGTTGACTGTGTCATTTGCTGTACAGAAGCTTTTAGTTTGATATAGTCTCATTTGTTCATTTTTGATTTTCTTTTCCCTTACCCAAGGAGATATGTTCAGGAACAAAATATTGCTCATGCTTATGTTCAAGATTCATCATGCTTGCTTTTAGGCAAAGACAGCAGACAGGCGAATAGAACTACATTTTATTTGAAGTTGTACTTAGTGATGATAAAGCTGTGATGAGAAACATGGAGATTGAATCACTCAGGACAGCCTATGTACTGCTGCAGTCATCAATAGCCCCACATCTTCAGTGGTTTGAAAGAACAGTTTTATTTCTCTCAAAATAAATGTTGTCTTCATTTTAGGATCCAGGCTGATGAAGCAGCCACCATCCAAAACATTGCCAGAGGCAGACAGAAAAAGAGAATGTGGCAAAGCATATACTAACTTTTAAGACTTCTGCTCAGTCACTTCCGATCACATTGCACCTGCCAAAAAAGTGGCATGCCAAATGGAACTTCAGCTGTTGGGCAAGTGCATTTCTATACCAAGCAGCCAGAAGGAGAGAGACAGAAGAATTATCAACAAATGTAAATACTACCAAAGGGATGATTTACATGAAAATCAGGATACCTTTGAGAAGCTAGAAGGGAAATGCAATCTGGGAGGGACATATGAGGGCTTCTGAGGTATGTTAATGCTCTCTTTCTTGATCTGGTTGGTGAGTTCATAGAAATGAGTATTTACACTGTACCAATTTTTTCTTACAGTTATTTGCCTGCTATATTTCATAATGAAAGATAAAATATAACTGAAGAACCAATTGTAATACAGACCACATACCTGGTAATATAGAAAATATTTAGAAATATTTAAGAGAGAGTCAACTCAGAGGGAAGAGAAATGAAATGGAAAACTTTGCATTTCATTTTATACTCTTCTGTTTAAAATTATTTCTTAATGTAGATGGTTACTTATATAATAAAATATTTAAAAAAAAGAATAAAGAAATTAAGACGCAGAACAAAAAGGTGCTCCTGGCCTCTGTGTGAGACATGTGTGTCTGCTCCATGACTCTAGGTTAAGATCAGTGCTGGAAAACGAGGGGAGGAGACATTGAAATTGTTTCTCAGAATGGGTGGAAGAGTGGACAGCCCTCAAAGTGGATGGGGAAGAAGGAACTTCACTCACAACAGCAGGAAGAGGCTTGGATGTGATTTGGCACCAAGCCATCCCAGAGTGTGGACCCCTCACTGGGGGTCACTAGCCAACAGCTCAGACCCTCGAAAGGCTCCAGGGAATAGAGGGGGAAGGACTTGGCCAATCTGTGTGAGGATGGGCCTCCAGGAGTGTCCCAACTGGAAATTTCCCTATGAACTGGGGGAGTAGTGGAAATACTACACTTGTAATTAAAGGTTAATTCCACAAAAAAATAGCACTGAATCTGTCTCTCTTCTTGGCTGTTGTGTAAATTTATCCATTAAGATGAACATTTAAAAAAACAACCCTTCATTTGGATTGAAATTCAGACCCAAAATGTGTAGAATGTAGCATTTGAATTATTACTGGAGGACGGCATAGGGCTATATTAGAGAACTAGGACAGAATGTTCTAGCAAGAAAGCATGAGACACAGATATGGGGGCGGAGACTGGGACAGGGAATTCACTTTAGCTGCATTCAGGGAACTTGAGGAGGAGTCGAAAAGAACGAGTACTTGGGTTCACGTATAGTTTCCTGTGGCTGCTGTAATAATTTACCATAGCCTGAGTGGGTCAAAATAATAGAAGTTAATTTTTTCATAATCTTAGAAGCCAGAAGCTCAATCTCAGTTTCACCAGGCCAAAATCAAGGTGTTGTAGGGCCGTGTTCTCTCTGGAGACTCTAGGAGAGAATCTGTTCCTTGTCTCTTTCAGCTTTTGGTGGCTGCCAGAACTCTTTGGCTTGTACCTGGATCACTCCCATCTCTGTGTCCATCTTCACATCCCCTTCTCCTCTCTGTGTGTCTACGACCCTTCTTCCTCCCCCTTACAAAGACATGTGGGATTACATTCAGACCCCACCTGGATAATCCAGAATATCCCTATGTCAAGATCCTTGATTTAATCACACCTGCAAAGATCATTTTAATCACACCTCTGAAGATCCCTAGGTTCCAGGGATTAGGACCCAGTGTCTTTGGGTTGCCGTTACTTGGCCTACCAGAATCCATGTCATAAAAGTGGGTCCTCTTATAGTTTTTGTGCCTAGAAAATGAAAATTTGGGTAATGCAAGGACTCATGGACATTATTGTAACACAACCTGGTAACTAAATCCTGCTGCATCCAGCCTGGAAAGAAAGGATTTCTTATTGGTTTATTGTGCCTACATTGTGTCTTTGGGTAACACCACTATGTGGCCCTTGGACACTGTGACCCCTTCAAATCACTTCATGCCACTGGAAGAGTTTTTATTTTATAGCTCCTGGTACTATTAGGGTAGGAGACCCTTGTATTAGACTTACTGGGAGCCAGGCAGTGTGCACATCTAAAAAAAAGGGCAAAAATCTTTTCTGAGTTCAGTTTCCTTGTAAGTGAGCATCAAGTATATATATTCAGAATTTTAATTGTATTGATCAGCAGAACCACACAGTTGGTGTGGAATCTCTGGGAGTGATCCTGGTACACATATTCCATTTATTTCTGTCCCAGTTGAAATCAGTAGTGCAAATCACAAATAAGAAGAAAAAGCAATTTTATAAAATGTATTAGTATGAAAAGCAGTTGAGTTTTGTCAAAGAGAATAGAACAATTTATAAGAAGGAGCAAGTTATATATTTCTCATTGTGATCAATTTTTGATTCAGTAAAAAGTTGCTGCCTCTTTCTATGATTGTTTCTGATGCTTCAATCCTCACACTTTATGGAAATAATTATGTTCATCTCTCAGTTGAAAAAAGTCTTTTTCAAATTCTTAAAATAGTATTGTTTAAAACAGTATTTGTGTATGTGTGTGCATAGAAGTTAATAAGACAGAAATGGAAACAGTTCTTGTTTTCAGTATTTCCTTGGTTGCACCAGTTAAAAGTACATTGCTTTTGCATTTGCAGGTCTGTCAAAGTGCAAACCAAAGACTCCAGACCAGACACTGCCAGCTGATGCTCAGTGGAATAGCCATGGGTGAGTGAGTGAAGATAAGGCCCTGTTTAATGCCAGGTATATGAAGGCCAGTGGAATGGAATGGACAGCCCTTGCAAAATTACCAAGTTCAAGATGTCGCACACAGCAAAAATATAAAATTAAAAAAATGCTTCAACATTTGGGAAAACAATTTTATAAATCAATGTTGGAAAACAATACATTTTTATTGTGTTACCTGGTTTACAAGTGACATATATGATTTTCTTATGAGTCCTCAAATGGTTCTGTGAGACAAGGTAGAACCCAGTGCTTTTTCCACTACACTATGCTACTGTGGCAATTGACAAGTCTGTGTCAAAGGCTTAGCACTTATGTGACACATGCACACACACACACACACACACACACACACACACACACACACACCCCTATTTACCTTTGCATTTGTTGTTTAAATGCCTGGACTGGAATGTACAACTTGCCCTAGTAAAGATAACATGTTGTAACAGGGAAATGATCTTTATTCTTAATCCAGAAAGATATCAGGACAACTTTACATTAAAAGATACAGACAAGGGATACTTTCTTCCTCCAGATTAATACTCTTCAAGAATGATGTAAAAGATCACTTGTATGGGAATCAAACTGGGATGCTTACTAAACATTCAGATAAGGCAGAAATGGAAACAGCTCTTGTTCCTTCATCCTTTATGGAAATAATTGTGTTCATCCAGGTAAACAAATGAAAGCAAATGAAAATTAAGCATATTAATATTTGAGTATCATTGTCCTTGACTGCCTTACTCTTTGGTTGATGTATTTATTCCTTCCCTCTCCCTTTATTTCCCTGTTATCTACTACGTCCTTTGGAAACACCAACCAATGTTGCTGTGGCAAGGATCAATGGCAGACTTATTTTGTTGTCAGAGTCCAGCCCAGAACATATCCACATCCTCTTTGTTCACTAGGGATAGGAGGAGCAATTACAGACTGTTCTGAAGGCCTGCTGGGTTTGCTGGGTTTTGTTATAGAGCAGCACAGCTCAGAGCACTGGCTTCCGAGTCTGTTCCTTGGATGCGCTCCTCACAGAAGGCGGGGGTCAGACTTTGATGACTGAGCCACAGAGCAGAAGGATTCTCAGGGAGACTCTGGTAGTTGTTTGGAGACTGAGATCCAATTCTGAATCCTGTGTGTGCCCCTCGTAAGCAGTGTCATTCTAGGCAAACGAGATTGCCTTTTGGGTATGTGACTTATGCTTGGGATTATCATTTTTTCTTTTAAAAGTCCTGCTACCACTTCTACTTCAAATCACCCCCCACCTCTTGCCTACCTTCTCTCCTGCTACAAAATACTACTTTGCACAAGGTTTTGCTTTTTATGTGCTTTAGGAGAGCAAGCCTTAGAATCAATCACAAGGAAGAAAAAAGGATTGGTCAAAGCCAATGAAGAAGGATCTGTGCTCCTTGCCAAAGATTGGTCCAGGCAAGGTCATGTGATATCACTCTGACCAGTGCAATACAAGAGGAAGTCCGCAGAGGGGATTCTTCAGTCTCAAAAAATACATGGTCAGAGGAAGCAGTTCTTTTCTGCTGCTGACATTTTTGTTTCTGCATGTGATGCTTGGAACTGTGACAGTCATCTTGGGATAATAAAGGGAATTAACCTGAGGAGGCCATACTAAGGGTGGCAGAGAGGAAAGAGAAGAAACCTAGGTCCTTGGCAAACTAATGAGGCTGCCTAACTGACTAAGCCTACAAAATCCCCTCATCTTGGGACCTGTCATAGGAGATAACAAATCCTCTTTAAGTCTCTTTGAGCTTGTGTGTGTATGTGTGTGTGTGCGCGCGCGCACGCGTGTGTGTACATGCCTGTGTCCTTGTTTGTGTTTACTTCCTAATGATACATACCACGAAAAAAGAACCAATTGACTCATGGTCTGGGTGGGAAGGAACATGGCAACTGCTTCTATGTGAGCTTAATAGACACTGATTAGAAGTTTGAGGAGGAAGCTTGCACTTTAGAATGGAGATTCCAGAGAAATATTTTCAAAAATTTACTATGTATCCACATCACCTGGGGATCTTGTACAGATCTGGTTGAAGAGCTCTGGGCAGGGACCACAGATTCTGCATTTCTTGTGTGATCCCAGGAGATATCCCTGCTGCTGGTCCGCAGGCCATAGTTCCAGCCATTAGAGGCTACACTCCATACACCTTGACTTCCCTCTACCAGGTTGGTTTTTGGGACAGGTCACCAAACTTTGAACCAATTGCTATTCTGGAAAACAACCTCCTTTTTTTGTAGAAAGTTTGAGATTGAGTTCTGCAAGATAAAATACTGTGTGAATTTTATTCAACTCATAGAATGAAAATCTGAAAAATCTCACTTTGAGTTCGCGCCATTATGTAATCTATGACAGAGACGTTCCAGAAAGGAAATAGATTTTTTTAAAAGTGACATTCTGTTCCTTCTGTTATAGAATGCAATAGGAAATGGGTGAGCACACACCAGCAATTGAATGTAAATGTTTAGACAGCCACAGCGAACCTGGGATAATGGATGTTTCAACTCCAAGAAAATATGCTGTCATTTAAACTCAGAGATAATGCGTCCATCAATCCCTAGGAGCCATGCCTTTTCTGAGTAGTGGTGAAGGAATGACAGAGTGTCATTCCACATGAAATCTGACTTGTCTCATAGAAGTTATGAGGGCATTGGACCGGTCAAGGGTGCAGAAGCTGCTGTTAAGGAAAATTGAATGTATTTGTCCATATGAATGTTGAATTGCAGCTTTAGTCTCGGGAGCCCTCTGATTCAACTAAATCACTTTCCTTCATTTATTCATTAATTCACTGAACAAATATTGAGAACCTACTATGGGCTGTGTACCATGTTAGGTATAAGAGAACCAGATGTAAAAAGATAAGGTCTGTAATCTTGAGGAATTTAAATGCAAACAGTGAGAAAGGCTGACATGGAGGCATGTAGGACTTGTAGTGAAGGAAGCATTTAAGGCTGCTATGGGACAGCAGGAAACATTCCCTAGGGAAGTAATGTTTTGAGCTGTGACTTGAAAATCAGTCAAAGATGGCAGGAAGGCTGCATGGGAGTAGGGTCGGAGAAAGTCATTGTAGGAAAAGTTAAAATTACGTGCAAAGGCATATAGGCATGTAAGAAGTCACTTCAGAGCAATAGAAAACAAAGAACAAGGCAATGAGAAATTTACATGAAATTCGTGAAAATACATAGTTTTTTTTTATTGTTACTATGGTTTCTGTAATTTGTTATCCAGAAAACTAAGTTTAGTGATAGGAAGTCTTAAAACTGCATTGGACACCAGCAGGTTGGCACATGGGGATGCTCCTTTAATGTATGGTATGAACTGTCTTCCGAGGCAGACAGGACTGTGACCGATGAGATGGGCCGGTGTAGGGCAGTTTGGAGAAGTAGGCCCTGCAGGGCTCTGGAGGGCACCTGCCGCGTGTAAAAGGCCGAGTGGAACTGGAAATTAAACTCTGTTCCTTCATCCCATACCTCACAACACACATGTGGCAGGATTTGGTCTATAGAGGCCTCATGTTTTGGCTCCTCTATGGGCTTAATATTCTTTTTAGAGAGAATATTCTGAAATTAATCCCTATTGATGTTTTTGAGGCTAGGGGCATGGGGGGACTTCAGTCAGGTCTGGGAGGCCTGTTTTGGACTATGCAATTAAATTTGAGTCTAGAGATAAAAATTGAGTGATAGGAAAACTCAAAACTATCTTGGAATCATCAAAAGTCATCAACTTGTACACTGAGATTTGTGCATTTTAATGTCTATGCTTCAATAAAAGAATTACAAATAAAATGAAAAGAAGCAGTTGTTCGGTGGAAGCAATTTCTTCTTTGATCTTATTTTATTGTATTTCCAATATTCAGACAGAAAGAAAATAATCTGAATGTTTATAAATCACATATGCCCGATAAAATCTTGGGATCAACCTTCTGTATAATTAAACACAATGTAAAAAAAGTTACATTGGAATCAGCAAATTGGTGCGTAGGTATCATGGCTATAACTGGCTTCCCCGGAATTTGAGCTCACAGTATGACCCTCTCTCTGCTTTAAGTTAATAAACAGACTTTCATAAGCAGGGTCACTCTTGTAAAGCAACTATCTGTTTTTGTCTCTTAACGTTTCACCATTTCCCCCAGATATATGCAACATTTCATAATTCTGGGTGTCTGACTCCTGTGCTGATGCTAGTCATGGAGAAGGGAGCCAAGTGCCAAAGGATTTAGTGGGGTCCAAACCCTTCAGTGCATTTTAGCAGTCTTAGGAGATGTTGAGATTGTTAACAAAAACCTGGGGATGGACCTCAGTCTTTGGATTAAGGGAAACCTATATTAGCAATGTGATATATTCACTTCACCCCTGCTGCCCTGACAGCCCCCTCCACCGCACTTATTACTCTCAGTACTTAGGGACTTGAACCTGGGAGAAAGTCTGAAATGCATTGGAAAAAATGTATCGTCCCTTTTAATTTTAACCTTCATGAACAGTATCTTTCTGAAATCTATATTTATCAGCCCTGTTGACTAAAATATATAAGATGTGGTTTTTACCTTTTTTCAGAATGCTTTTATGACTATATTTTAAACACTTTTTTGTCCACGCCACTTAAATGATTATATAATATTCAATTGCATGGAAATTTATAATTTACTTAATAGTTTTTCCATTGCTGTATGGTAAAGCTGTTTTGACTATTTTTTTTTCTTTTTATGGGTGCTGCCATGGTGAGCAGCTTTGTACAAGCTGTTATTAAGCACATAAATTATTTGGAGTTATATAAAATCCGGCACCTTCAGGGCCACTGAAGAATATTGGGTTCCTTGGCATTACACTAAAAGGTACACGAGTTATGCTTTTGATTCTCATAATCTCCTTTTTCAATTCTCCCTTAAAGTCAGATTGTTCATTGCTTCGAGTGTGCCTGCTTCGTTCAACTTTTATCTCCTCAACTCCCATTTTTCTCATCCTTCTAATCAGCTGTAAAAGGGAAGCCAGGTAACTGAGTGTGATATACTTGGCATTTGAGGAAAAGTAGGTGCGGAGTAAGTACCCTGCAGGAGAAAACTACGCCAGTTTTATTAAATAGAATTATCTAGATCAGGTTATTTATTTATTTGTTTTTTCAGGTTATTGTTTTTAACAAAATTTGGATGTCTTGGATGACGTTCTTGTTACTTTACCAAATTAAAAAAGTCTAAAAATAATAAGAGAGGGTTTCAGTTGTGGTGTGTCCCTGGTAACAAAAAAAGTCCATTGAGATTTTTGAGTGAGAGGAAATACCTTTTTTATGACTGGGTGAAGTGGTATGAGTTCAGGAGAGGTTAGGAAGAAAGGAAGCTCTAGAATTTATGGGTTTGAGGAAATGGGATGATCTGCTTGGCGGCACTCTGGCACAGCTCCCTCCCTTGACGTATAAACTGCCACCGGCTTTAACGTGTTGTTGAATAGTCATTTCATGTAGGGCTCCCTGACACATAGGCCTCTATCTTATCTATTTGGAATGTAATATATTATCAGCCATGGCTGCTAATGCTAACTGCTGAATAGCAAGTCTTAGGAGTTGGCTTCCAGTTCCTAGGTGATTATACCAGCAGTGCAGAAGGGGAGGTACAAACATACAAGTCATTATACATGATTTCGAACTTGCATGCAAAAACCCTAGGGTGGTATTTTTGAAGCAGACTTGACTGAATATAGGG